CCAACTCTTGGGCTCTAGTGATTCTCTTGCCTCAGCCTCCTAAGTAGCTGGGACTACAGGCCCCCGCCACAACACCCGGCTATTTTGTTGCAGTTGCCGTTGTTTAGCAGGCCCAGGCTGGGTTTGAACCCGCCTGCCTGGGTGTTTGTGGTTGGCACCCCAACCGCTGAGTCTGTGCCTTCCTGTTTATACCCTGCTTTGCAGCGGGTTCCTGGACCATTCTCATCCATATGCTTCATTTCTCTGACAATGGTCAGTTTCTTGAGGATCAAGTCACGGTTTCACTGACTGTCAGGTTAGGAGAGTTGAGGTCACTTAATTGAGGTCACTTAGTCCTACCTCTTAAATTTTATCTCTTTCTACGACCCCACCCAAGTCCCCCACTGCTTGAATCCCTCACTTTCTGCTTATAATCCCTAGGAACGGAATTGCCTCTGGCAGGCACTCAGGACTCACAGCAACTACTAGTTATCAGCTGGCACTTAATAAGCACCAGGCAGGAACTTGCTTATTTCAGAACTAAGGAAGCTCAGGCTCCGTGAGGTGGGGGTGACTTGCCTGAGCGTCACACAAGTAGGAAATGCTGAGTGGTTATCTGGTATAGTTTGATTGTCTCCTCCAAATTCATGTTGAGGAGTCACATGTCTCCTCCAAATTCAACTGAGTCCCCAGTGTATTGAGAGGTGGGGCGTTTTAGAGCTGACTGGGTCAGGAGGACAATTGGATTGGGATGGATGAAGCTGTTCATGGACTAATGGATTCATGGGTTATCAGGGGAACAGGATTGGGGGCTTTCTCCTTAAAGGAAGAGTGAGATCTGAGTTAGCACACTCAACTCCCTCGCCGTGTGTTTGCCTGTGCTACCTTGGGAATCTGCAGAGGTCGCACCAGCAAGAAGGCCCTCACCAGATGCAGCCCCTTGACCTTGAACTTCTCAGCCTCCATAACGATAAGAAGTGAATTCCTTTCCTTCTAATTTATCCAGTTTCAGGTGTTCTGTTATAATCAACAGAAAACAGACCAAGACAGGATCTGAACATAGACCTACCTGAGTCTTTCCCTAAGGAATGAAGAAATTTAAGCAACATTGAGAAAACCACAGACCCAACTCCTTTTTTCAGGCTCTGGCGATGTGGCCAGAGGTAGGGTTTTTGCTTGTTTATCTTTGCTGGGACACACCCCCCCGGATACTCACATCAAGTGCTCACAGGCTGCCTCTTTGGTTTCGTTTTCTGGGGGGTCTTCTTTCGGCGTTTCCTCCTTTTCAGCTGTATCAGAGGGACACACGGACATTATTAGAGTCCTCGTACAACAGCTGGTCTCCTTCCTCTCTGCTGATAAACATACCTCTGACTTTCACGACTTACAAACCTTCCCTCCCCCTGCTAATGAGACTCCCCATCGCCCTGTGTTCCGTGTCACAGGCTAGGGGCGATCTCCATCAGAGGCTGTGCCAGCTATTCTATAAGGAAGGGATCATTGAGTCCATTTCCAGACAAGGAAACGGGCACCAGAGTGATGGAACCTGCCTGTGGCCACTCAGCTAAGCTATTAGACTCTCAGCCACTGGTTACCCCGCCTGTCCTCCCTTCTCCTTTCTTCTCAAATAAGAGTCTCTGAGGAATGATCTGTGCTTAACACCTTCCTGCTTAGCCCTCAACCCACTGCCTCCGGCTTCCCTTCTCACCACTCACTCACTTGTTTATTCATTTAACAAACATTAATGAAATGCCTGCTTAATAGCAGGCACTGATCTGAGCGTGGGGGTGACACAGATGTAGTCACCCGTCAGATCCCAGCTCAAACATCCTCTCTGTGACCCAGACTCTGAGCTAGGAAACTGAGCCCTGCTCTTTGTCCTTGCCACGGTTCCCTGTTCACTCTGGATCACCTGTTAGGGCGACAATTGTGGTTAACCGCAGGGACAATAATTGGCTTGTCCATCCCCGAATCCCTGGTGGCTAAATGAGATTAGAACATAACAGATGCTCGAGGGAGAGTGCCGGATGAACAAATGAATGAATGAATGACTGAGGTGAGCCCTGACAGCTAGCTAATCACGGCACGGAACCACGACTCCTAACCAGGAGGGAGTCTGCCTCTAGGGCACGTTTGGCGCTGTCCGGAGACATTTTGGTTGTCAAACAGGGGTGGGGATGCTCCTGGCAACTGATGGGTAGAGGCCAGGGGTGTTGCTGGACACCCTACAGGGCTCAGGACACCCACAACAGAGCCCTATCTGAAACCCTGTGGTCTCTATGTCCAGAACTTTATCCAAGAGCTTAGCCTTTTTGCCATAGTGTGAATTACCCTGGCCACTTAGGGTGAACACGTGCTCACAACTCTGAGTTCTTTTTTAAGCCTCTTCCGGGTTTATTTTTTAAGAGACAAATGCTGGCTGGTAATGAAAGTGCACTGGTTGCAAAGGGCTGACGGCAGAGAGAAGCCTCTGAAAGGCCCCGGCATGAGACGTTTTCATGGGGAAAAGATGATTCCACTCCATGCCTCTAATGTCCCTAACAGCCCTGGTCTGGCTGGCTCACTGGGTCGGCACAAAGGACGTCCAGTGCATTGTTATTACTTCTGTTCAACCTGGGCCTTGGAGAGCTTCTGACATTGTTGTATAATAAGAACAAAAGAGGGGGCTCCAGAGAGTGAATGAGGTTTTAAGTGGGGCACAGCCCTTTCGTGCTAACCAACCTTTCAGGACCTGTAGTATAAACAGAACCTGCCCCTAACATTGGGATCTCCTTGGCATCCCTTAGGCGCTACCTGGGTCATTGTCCTTCAGAGTTGCGATCTCTCCTTCTATTTTTTGGTGTTGTTCAGTCACTCTCTGCAGTCTTTGCTCCAGGCTCACGATCGTCAGGGAGTGCTGTTGGATCTGCTCCTTGTATTCCATGATTTCTTCTTCGAATCCATGCTTCTGTAATTCTTGCTCATCCTGCAGGGAATTTATCGTCTGCTGGTGCACTATCACCTGCTCCTCCATTATGATCTGGGAAGGCAGAGCGTGTACACTGTGATCTTGGGAGCGGGCTGTGACAACAGGAACAAGGCTACACCTCTGTACACGCTGGGGCTACACTGGGCGCTGCCCCAGGGCCTTTGCATGTGCCCCACCTCCTGCCTTATATACTTCTCCAGCTCCTTCCTTGCATGGCTGACTCCTGATCTTTCAAGGTCTCAGTTCCAACATCACCTCCTCTAAGAGGCCCTCCCTGACCACGTCTTGGGAGCAGCCTGAGACCCTTCCTATCCTAGCATCTGTGTCATTTTCCCTGAGGCCTCTATTGTCACTGAAAAGGATCTTGTTTCTTTGTTTCTCCTGTCCACTAGAATGCAAACTCTACAACGGCAGAGACTTGTCTTGTTTACCGCTGTGCCTGCCTGCATCTGTATCCAGATGTTTGATAGATCCTTGTGGAACTGATGAAGGAATGATTTTCTAAGAAAAAGTGGACGAATTTGTATTTCTTAAAAACAAAAACTTACCCACCCCTGTGCCATCCCTATGCCATCATATCCCCAACTGTCCTAGCTCGATATTTACAGTTTCCTAAGACATCTCCTCTCCTTGGTGCTCCTGTCCCCTGAGCCTTACCATTGTAACTCTCTTTCTAGTGATCCCTTTCTTCCTACTCCTTCGCCCAGCCCCCGCCAGGCATCCAGGTCCTTAGGATTCTGCGCTACAGCAGTGGCTACCATATGCCGGCCCAGAGCCAGTCTCTCCAACTCCACACCCTCTCCCAAATGTACTTTGTGCCCTCCTGGCAGAGGAGCCTCCATTATCTCCTTGCAACCTGCAAATCCGATTGTGTCGAGCCTTGAACTCCGAGCCAAAGCTTTAAAACATTGTCTTAAAAAATCTGTGGAATAGTCACAGGTCACTAAATGCCAGGGCTCCCTAGTCATCCTTCCTGATCCTGCAAGGACGCTGAGTCATTCTTGGAAGACCTCTGTGTACCTTTCATTGTAAACCAGTACTTCTCAACGGGGGGTGGGGGGTGGGGGGGCAACTCTGTCCTCACAAGGCATGGACTTACCATTTTGGTCTTGGCAGTTTCCAGTTCAGCTAATGTTTCGTTTAATTTTATGGCGAGGCTCTCTGCTTTCAGACTTTCAGCTGTCTGTGTCTTCTGAGTCTCTTCTACGATGGCCAGTGCATCATTTAGTTTATCATTTAAAACAGCTTCTTTTTGCCCTTTTAATTCTATTTCCTAGACAAGGAACAAACGTCGAAATAATAGACATTCAGGAATAAATATTTACCCTGGCCTCTCTTCCCTCCTGCCTTCAAGGAGAAAGTCAACTCTATTCTGTAATTATTCTGTTGATCCTTTGTAAGGACAAACACCACGCCTTCTCTGGAAGGTTCCAGTTGTTACAGAACTCTTCTATATATTCAGCTGAGATCTGAGACCTGTCTCCTTGTGATTTTGGTCTTGGAGCTACATGGGTCACCTGGAACTTGAACTGAGTTAAGTTTTCTCTTTGATGAGACAGCCCATTACATATTTGAGGAGGGCTGTCACATCTCTCTGAATCTCTTCTCTAGAATAAATGTCCTGAGTTCCTTTTCTCCTTGCCTTCAGGATGTGCTACTTTCCTCTAGGGGATGACCTATCTGTCTCTGCCCTCCAGGATCTGGCCAGACTGGACGCCAGCTGCTATGTCCTTGGGACACCTGGGGGGGTTCCCTCCCCTGAACCTGTTCTTCTGATTCTTGATTGTCAAAATTCTACTCTCCTAAATCCCTCCTCAAATTGTGAGGAGTGGGGGCTTCTTGGCAGGCACTGTGCTGGGCATCTTACGAACATTATTTAATCCAGTTTAAAATATAGTCTTGTTGCCAGGCACAGTGCCTCATGCCTACAATCCCAGCAATGTAGTGAGACCTGTCTCTACAGAAAGTAAAAATAAAAAATCAGCCAGGCATGATAACATGCACCTGTAATCTCAGCTCCTCGGGAGCCTGGGGAAGAAAGATTACTTCAGCCCAGGAGTTTGAGAGTGCAGTGAGCTATGGTCTTGTCACTGCACACCAGCCTGGGTGACAGAGCGAGACCCTTTCTCTAAAAAAATAAGATAAAATAAAAAATATTCTTGAGACATAGTACTGGGTATTCTGAGACTGTTGGTGGTGGTCTAAACTCTTATGACCTTTCTGGAGGATCATTTGGGAAAATGTTTGTATCCTATGAAAATGTTCGTATCCAATTCTACTTTTGGGGATTTATCCTGAGAGTGTAGAGAGTGATGATAAGGGTTGTCCAACCAAGCATCTTTTACACTGGTAAAAATTAAGAAACTACCCCAGTGCCTGACCACAGGGGAGGGATAAGTAAACTGGGGTCTGTCTCACACAGTACAAATCCAGGTCAGGGAAGATGGGTCTATGACACAGAGACATTCTTATAAATATTTTAAATATAAAAGGACAGCTTTCAGGCTCGGCGCCTGTAGCTCAAGCGGCAAAGGTGCCAGCCACATGCACCAGAGCTGGTGGGTTTGAATCCAGCCGGGCCTGTCAAACAACAATGACAGCTACAACCAAAAAATAGCTGGGTGCTGTGGCCAGCACCTGTAGTCCCAGCTACTTGGGAGGCTGAGGCAGGAGAATCACTTGAGCCCAGGAGTTGGAGGTTGCTGTGAGCTGTGAGCTGTGACGCCACAGCACTCTACCCAGGGTGACAGCTTGAGACTCTGCCTCAAGAAACAAAACAATGGGCGCCGGCCCCATATACCAAGGGTGGTGAGTTCAAACCTGGCCCCGACTGAACTGCAACAAAAAAACAGCCGGGCGTTCTGGCAAGCACCTGTAGTCCCAGCTACTTGGGAGTCTGAGGCAGGAGAATCGCCTAAGCCCAGGAGCTAGAGGTTGCTGTGAGCAGTGTGAGGCCATGGCACTCTACTGAGGGTGATAGTGTAAGACTCTGTCTCTACAAAAAAAAAAAAAAAAAAAAAATACAGCTTTCAAAGCAGGTGCACATTGTCACAGTATAAATCACTAACTTTGGAATACATCAACACTTATTGCTGTCTATAAGAATGCTCAATGTAAAAACGCTCTGGAAGGAATCATATTAAAATGTCACGGTAGCAACACTGCTCAGTCGACTCACATGTTTTATTTTCTTCTGAGTAAGTTTCTGTATTTTTCAGATTTTACTAACATGACAGGTGTTCTCTTTATGATAAGGAAAAGAAACTGATTTTTTTTTTTTTTGCAGTTTTTGGCCGGGGCTGGGTTTGAACCCACCACCTCAATACTTACCTGGCAGGGGAGAGCCCATGATCATGAAGGTGGCTTCCCCAGGGCCAGGCTCGTCCATTGCTCTCCAGTTGTGCTGACCCCTGTGATTTCCCCACATGAACCTGCCACCTCCGGCATATGGGCCCAGCGGCCTACTCCTGTGAGCCACAGATGCCCTGATTTTTTTTTTTTTTTTTGGAGACAGAGTCTCACTTTGTCACCCCTGGTAGAGCAATGTGACATCATAGCTGATATCAAACTCTTGGGCTCAAGAGACTCTTTTGTCTCAGCTTCCCCAGTACCTGGAACTACACGCGCCTGCCACAACCCATAGCTATTTTTTATTTTATTTTATTTTCTTCCCCACCTATTTTTAGGGTTGAGGTTTTGCTCTTGCTCAGGCTGGTCTCAAACCTATGAGCTCAGGCACTCTACCTGCCTTGGCCTCCTGGAGCGCTAGGATTACAGGCCCGAGACTTTGCACTTGGCAAACTGATATTTTTAAAATAAAATACAAATTCTATTTTCATCATGGTTCCCATACAAGTCTCACCTGGGAGTTGCTCACTTTCTTTGTATGGCCCCTCAATTCCATCTGATTCTTTTTTAGGGTCTTAACATCACTATCGTTACTGAGAAATTCCAATGAGGGTGACACACAGGCCTGGCCTGAGGATGTACTTACTAGGGACAAAGGACAGGCTCTGCTAGCATAGCCTGTCAGGATAGCTCAGCGACACTCTCCAGGTGTCCCGGAGAATCCACAACAAACTAAAACTGTTTCTTTGAAGGGCCAAAAAGCCTCCCTGCCTTAGGGCCGAACACGAGGCCTGGAATCTTTGCTCATTACCGACCACTCAGCAGCTTGTCCAAGGATCAGAGAACAAAGTTCACTATTCCTGTGGGTCTGAAATCCCTTTTCTTTTCTCTTTTCTCTTTCTCTATTTATTCTAGAGTAAAACTTGTGACCCATTCATTGATTTCACGATACACATATATATATTTTTTTTGCATTAGTCTCATTCCTGATCCATTTTCTGTCCCAATTTATCTATTTTTAAATTTTTCGTTTCTCCTTTCTACCTACCCCTAAGTGATATAGTTCAGGGACGATCCAGGGGAAACAAGGCCGATTGGTAATGGATTGTGGCTCTCGGGCTCTCTTGCAGCCTGGAGCAGCAGTGTGCTCTGTGAGTAGGACAGCCCTGAGCTGACAAGTTTTGTATTACTTCACTGGATTCTAATCTGCCTTCTTTGGACATACACCAGTTAGTCAAGGTCCCTCTTAAAAAGTGGTGCCCAGGACTGATGTGGAATCCACAGGGGGGCTCCTGACATTATTTTTCCTGGAGCAGCGTTCTTTTAAAGAACATGGGCTGCTTGTTAAATGTGAAGGTCCCTGAGTCCACGCTAGACCCAGGGAGTCAGACTCTCTGAGGGGATGTCCAAGAAACAGGCATTTAAAATAAGTTCCCCAGAGATTCTAAGGCATGCTAACGGAAATCTTTTTTGGAAGAAAATGATCCAAGATTGAGGTAAACAGAGATCTTTTTAGCACCAGATTTTGTGTGTGTCATCTGCTTTGCCTTTCAGATATTGGTCATTTTGTGTGTGTGTGCGGAGTGTGTCTGTGTGTTCCTTACTCTGCTGGGACCCAGGAGGAATGAATTATGTCCTGCTGCTTGTGAGGTACCTAAGACAGGGTTGTGGTCAAAATCCACCTCTTTTTTTTTTTTTTTTTTTGAGACAGAGTCTCAAGCTGTTGCCCTAAGTAGAGTGCTATGCCATCATAGCTCACAACAACCTCCAGTTGTTGGGCTCAAATGATCCTCTGGTCTCATTATTTTTTTCTATTTTTAGTAGGGGTGAGTGTGGGAGGAGGTGTCTCGCTTTTGCTCAGGCTGGTCTCGAACTCGTGAGCTCAAAGCAATCTGCCTGGCTCAGCCTCCCAGAGTGCTAGGATTATAGGTATGAGCCACCGTGCCCAGCCCATTCACCTGTATTCTAACTGCTTCTACGACTCCCCGTTATAATAGCAAATGTCTTTAGGTTAAGAAGGTGGTGCTAATTATGATGAGAAGTTCTGGTGGGAAAATGACATCAAAGTGATCAGAAATCGAGGGGTCTCTGCTCTGGCATCTCCATAGGTGCACAGTAGAAAGAGTTCAGGATTCAG